TATTAACCATACCTGCTTAAATAACAGCCTCCCACAGAATTACAAGTCTCCATGCCCACCAGTCCACTCAACATAAACTCAGAAATTACCAAACTTCAAGACCTGGAAGAAATGTTTGAAATCCTACCTAGTATTTCCCAAACTGGATTACAGATTACAATGCTGAGACCAGTCGGGCCCTGTGGCCAAATAAACTTAGAAAATAAGGCACATTGCATTACCTTCTCTGATGCTTAACACTCACATTCACATAATAAAACTTCAATTCTGACAGAACAAATCATTTGTTTAATTCCCTCATTAATTCTAAAACCTACTGGAGATCAGGTCACTCTATTTTGGTCCAGAAAACAATCTATGAATATCCTAACTCTTATGTTCACTTACAGCTTAAAAACTTTTGCTCTAGTCTAAGTCTTTCCCCTAATGAATGAAGAAAATGTTTTCAGAAAGTTAACTTCCTAGGAAAGGTCACCCAACTAGGTAGAAGACCCATACCTGGACAGATCCCTCACCCTTTAACATATACTCCTTTTGTATTCATTTTTATAAGCCCTGTGTTGACCCAAGACCTAATCACAGAGCATCTTCTCATTGGCCTTGTTCCTGTGCCTTCTTCAGTATTCCTTCAGAATGCTCTCCTGTCCTCCAACCCTATCCTATCTACCCAAATCACTTCATCCCTCTAAGGATCCACTTATTGGGCAAGATTTCTGCCTATCTCACCACCCTGTTTCTGACAGCATGTTGCACTGTTTCAAAATTGTTTTGTAGGTGCCAAGTTTACTTTATCAACTGAACTGTATATTTCAACTTGCTCCCTATATATTTTAAGTTCCTCTGTAATGATGGTAACTTGCACTTACTAAGCAATCCACAGTATCTGGGGACTGATATATGGAACATCATTAATGTTTTTTAAACAGCTAAGGTTGGACTATAATACTTAGATCTTATTAACACAGCATGTTAAAGCGTATCAAATTCTATACAGCCTGCTTAAGACTACTGATGTAAGTCCTGAAACAGAGCTAGGAAATAAAGACCACATAAAAGTCTTGATTTGATCTTCCTCACACCAGAAATGAGTTTTCTTTCATTTTCACAAGCCTGCAAGACTCCAGAAGGCCTCTTGTTTTTACCAGTTTCATCATGATTTTACCAATTTCATCTTAATTTTACCAATTTCATCTTTTCCCCACCTTGGTCAGTTGTATTGTAAGTAAATGCACAAAGAACCCAATAGACAAAAGAGGAATAAAGGGATAAATGATGAGTTTGAAAAGTCAAATTTTTATTCATGAAACTTATAAGCCTCCCTAATAACAAACCACACAGAAACCTAAAGAACAGACAGATATCATTATCTAATATATCAAGTTACAATGACAGTACTAGGACCCCGACATTCCCATTTATAATTTGACTGTGAAAAGGCAACTTTTTATTTTAACTAGATACGATATCTGGTGATATTTGCTCTTATCTTGTCATTCAAAGAACATCTACATAAACAATACCATTTCCAAATAGCAATTCTACTTCTCAACTGCATGATGAAAAGAACACCACGTTCAACTTTTGCCTCCTCACCTACACTCTTATCTTTTATCATGAGACTCTTCATAATCACACACTTGAACTTCAGGGCACAATTACTCAAGACAAGTGTCTTTGCAGAATATGAAACTACTTCAGCCAGTTTCACTAGCTTTAAGTATGGGACCTGCCAAACTACCTTCAAAGCTTTCATCATCTTAAATAAGATTCCAACAATACTAAAGAATAATTAGCATAAAATGTAGGCTCTCAGTAGACAAGTTTACTACTTTTACTTCAGTATCACCATTGCTAGATTGGAACTCCTTACAGCAACACATTTCACTATGAGTTAGGAGCCTCTTTTTTAAAAGGAAAGCCCAAAATCAGCTACTCGGAACAAAATCATAGAGTCAAAGAGTTCATTATCACACCCATAGTATGTTGCTCTACAGTTTGTCAGCTATTTCTTTGCACTGGCATAAGCTACAAGGCTAGCTATTCAAGGCAGTATTTCTGGTTTCTTATCACAACATCATACCAGTGGTAGCCTTGATGATACTTAGTGACAACTGTTTTCACTTCTAAACACAAAGCACCAAAACACATTGTGTGTGTAGGGTAACTCTTTATAACTATAATAATTCTTAACATTTATAAACATACTCTTAACACACATTTCTAAGTTCATAGTTTAGTTGTCTGTTCTCTAATAAGCCCTCACATTTCTCAAGCATAGTTCAACAAATCTCCCTAACTGTACACTATGGAACACCAAAGGTTTTATTTGAAAAATCACCATATACCTATTTCTAACCATCCAACATGGACACAATGTGAAAAAAGCTGCCTACATATATATCTTTTGCTAAAGAACCAGACAAATAGGAATGATTTTTCCCTAGTGTGTGCTTTTTATACGAAACACTAAGAAAATAGCTGATATAAGGAACTGTTCCTTTATTTAGGAATGATAATCACATTTGGGGGTTTTTTGAGACATTATAATTTAGAGACACAGAAGTATTTTTAGATGAGATCGTATCACATGGGGGTGGGGTGACAGAAGAAAACTATAGAATAAGTAAGATGCGATATGACTTGGTAGTTGTTGACCCTGGTGTTGGGTGTATAGGATTTAATTTATTGCTTGATCCACTTTTGTGTATGTTCACATTCTTCTATAAATTTTTAAACTTTTTTTAATAATTACTTTCTATATCCACACATAGATACATATAATATTAAATAGAAAGGTACTATAGTATTAAGCTGACCACATTAACATGGGTTTTAAATCTAGGTAAGCAGCAGAAAAACTAAGTGCCATAAGGAAAGAATGGTACTAATCGTACATTTTTAATTTGGTCTTCTTTAAAAACTAAAAAGTTTTTTTAAGATCAAAAAAACTAGAATGGGCACATTTTCTTTCAAAAGCCAATTGTATACAGAATATAGACACAGACAGGTCATCAGCCCAACCCAACAGCTACTTGCTACAAATAAAACAACCCAAGACAAATATATGACCCTCTCTATGCAACCTTTGAAAATGGTCACAGGAATCCAGAGGGGCCACACAGCAGTGCAGAACAACCATGTTAAAAAAAAAAAAAAAAAAAACAGAACCACTTGTAACCAGCTCTTAGAATAAGTATCTTCCCAAGAAATGGTGAATCAAATTCTTAAAATATGTACTGCCAATTCAATTCCTATTTTAAAGCAAGAAAAGAAGCAGGTTACACCTTACAGTTCCCATCCACCTTGACAAAGTGAAAGGTACACTTAGAATGACCCTAAGTGGTAAACCTCAACACTCAAAAATTTGAGCCAATTCAGGACCAGTTCTAGAACCAAAGGGTAACTGATTCAGTCACTAACATCAAATTCTAGGGGCACCACAAATAAATCCCATCATCCTCCTTTCTGCCCCAACCACTGGCAACAACCACAACCATAACCCCAACCAAAATCAGTTCACAGAAAAGAAAACTGACAGGAAAATTTTTGAAAAACATTTGAACCTGACATTCAAACACAGAACCAGCAGTCTAAACTTGCACAGTTACTGTATATGAGATATAAGCTTTCATTAACAAAGCTTGCATGTGTGCATCTGAAACGATACCACAATAAGAGCAAAATAACAAACAAAAAAAAAAAGGAAAGGGAAAAGTTTCCTTCAGGAACCCCAAACCATCACATCAGGTGCATAAAAAACTCAAAAGCAACTCACATCTTGGTTTTGTGCTTAAGAAAGCTGGACCAACTCTACAAGACCTAGAGCCTTGCCTGTGTAGTGTATGTATTGGAGGTGGGGACAGTGAGGTAGGGGGAGGCAGGGAGGGAAAGAAGGCGGTTAGAGAGGCCAATGACCAATCCTAGCACCAAATCAGCTTCATACAGGCAGAGATACTTTCCAGTGACCCCTGGACAGTCTCCCTGAAGCTCCCTCCTCCCAACAGCCCACCCCCAGGAGCCTCTCATCAAGAAGGAAAATGTGTATTTGAAAATGAACGCTGCCTGCAGGTGCCTAAGGAATAAAGAAAGACACAGATACACACACACACACACACACAGAGCCAACCACTTAGGAAGGGGGGGGACCCCACGCACACACAAAAAGGAAAGGGACAATTGGTGACAAGCCCTTCAGCAACCAGCTAGGATTGTATTCTTTGCTTCCACCAGTGCTCCCTGGTGTACCTTTTTCTGTCCTTCAACTAAATTACTCATGTACATACACACACACATACGTGTATGTGTATAGATAATATTATAATTAACCCTTTCTGTAATAGACTCATTCAGAATACAAAAAGATATCCATCCTTTCCTTGTCTCCCCTCCTCCTTCCTTTCTCCCATCCAGGAGAAAACGCCCCCTTTCCCCTGTTTCGCCCCCAAAAAAATGGGGGGGCGGGTGACAAGAAACCATAAAACACCTTTAGTCTCCAGTCCCGAGGACATCCAGTAAAGGTATACACTACACAGACACACACGGACATATGGCTCTGGAGAAGGCACACACAGAACCATCCACAGGCGCCCCAAACCCAGCAAAGACACTTCCACTAGCCAAGAAGCCATGATTGGGGAGGGAGAAGAGGAAGGAGTAGGGGTACAGCAATCGGTGAAGAGGGGGCGCATTGTTGTGATGCCTGAACCCCTTTCTTTCTGCCCATCTGCTGTGTAAGGGGTGCAGGGAGGGGGCGCAGGGGAAAGGCGAGCGACAACGAGCAAACCAGGAAACCAGGCACGGTTCTGCGATTCTCTCCAGCTGCCTGTCTGCCCTCTCCTCCTCTCCCCCCAACAAAAAGACCTCAGCCTAGACAGAGGACAGACAGACAGACAGACAGTTCTGAGCATCGAGGGCGAAGCAGGGGACCCCGGACATGGCCGAGTGGGGTCGTGCATAAAAGAAAACGGGGAGAAGGGGAGAAAGAAGGGGGACCCCCTTACCTCCAGCGCTTCAAAAGTGACAAAGCTGGTCATGGCAAATCCATCAATGATGTCCTCTTCGGCCGAGGTGGACTCTCGCCGCTTCCTCCGCGGGGGTCTGGGCCGGGACGGGGCGGAGGACGGGGGCTTCCCATTGTCTTCCTTGTCGGAGCCAGACGACGAGGCGAGGGAGGGCGCCCGGGTCCGGCCGGCCCCTCCGCCACCGGCCCCCAACCCGCCCCGGGAGCGCCTCTCCCGATCTCGCTGCGACCGCGACCGCCGCTTTTTGCGGAGTCCATGGCCCCGCGTCGGGCCATCCATGGCTGTGCCGGGGTCCCCCCGCTTGCCTGCCGCCCGCCACAGGCTCTGGCCGCGGCCACACACACACACACACACACACACACACACACACCAAAAAAAAAAAAAAAAAAAAAAAAAAACTGACACCGAGCCTTCCCTCCCCGGATCACGGCTTCCCTCCGCCCCGAGGAGGGCGCGGGGGAGACGGCGGCCGAAAGAAGGGAGAGAGGGGAAGAAAGAGAGGAGAAAGAAAAGGGGGAAGGGGCGGAGAGAGGGGAGGAGGGACGGGGGGCGCAGAGCCCAAGTGTGGGGCTCCCCGCCGCACCGAGGGTCGGAGATGCCTGGGAGCAGCGCCGAGCAAAGTAATGGCTGAACACACAGGTCTCCTTTAGAGGGGAAAAAAAATAACTCACCAAGCAGGCAATAAATCAGAATAGCGGAATGCTTTGATCAAGAGACTGGGAGGCTCCGGGGAGCCCTCCCCGCGGCCATTCTCCGCCGCGCCCCCCCCCAAAACGCCTGCACACCCTCCTCCCCACCACCCCACCCGGGGATCTAAAATCGGGTTCGAAAAGGTCGCGGGAAAAGTGGGGGCAATGAACTTGAAAACAACACACACACACACACACACACACACACACGCACACACACACACACCCGGCCACCTCTCACACACGCCTCGGAGAAAACTCACTCCCAGGCTGCAAAATTTTTAAGAAATTGCATCCAGGGCAGAGTAGGGTTGGGGAGCGATCTGAGAGGAACGAGACCCCACTCCCTGGGAAGGAAGCATAATAATAATAATGCAATCATTAGCGGAGGAGAGGACGAAACTGCGAAGAGGTTGGAGAAGGGAGGCGCAGGAAGAGGAGGAAGGAGGATGCTGGAGCAGTTGAGGGGTTTGCTTTTCGGTCTTCGAAGGGGGGAGGAGAAGAGAAGAAAGAAGAGAAGAAGCAAACCCTGACGCTGCCGCCCGCCCCCCTCACACACACACACACTCACACACACCCTTGCTCACAAAAAAATATTTTTTTCCAGTCCCAGAGGTCACCCTTCCTCAAAAAAATATTAATAATCAGGGAGGGGATGAGTCAGTCAGTCGATAAGGAAAGCAGAAAGAAATCTCCAGCGAGAGACACCGGTGTGCCCGTGCTGCCGCCGCCGCCGCCGCCACTCCTCGTCGCCCCGCCGGAGGCAAAAGCGCTGACGAAAACGCCACTCTCGCCGCTAACGCTGCCGCTGCCGCTGCCGCCGCAAGAGCCCCGAGCCGGAGGGTGCACGGCGTGTCCCCGGGCGGCTGCCGCGGGAGCCCGGGCACGGCCCCATCCTCCGCCCGCCCGTAAGCCTCGCGCAGCTCCCGCTCCTCCCCCTCCGCGGCCGGCCCACCGCCGCCGCCCGCCTCAGCCCAGCCTCGCGCGCCCGCTTGCTCTCGCTCTTGCGCGCGCGCGCCCGCGGGCCGCCCTCCTCCCCGAGCCTCGCTCGCCGCGCGCTCCCGCCCCCGCGGCCCCGGCCGGCGGGATCACGTGGGCGGAGGCTGGGCTCCCTCCTCCCCCGCCCCCTCCCCAGTTGTGGAGTGTATAGAAAGCACAGGCTGGGGGCCGGCCGCGCGCTCGCGAACCCAGGGCATGCGCGCTGGGGCGGCCGGGCCTGCGCACTGGGGGCGGCGGGGCGCCGCGACCAGGGTTTGAGGGGGTGCGGTCCGGCGGAGTTGACGCGCGAGGGTGTGGAAGGCTGTGGAAGAGCCCGCCCGGCGCTCGGAGGACGCGTGCGCCCCCCGTGCCTTCCTTGGGACATTTGCTCCGGGTCTCCGGTCCCCGGCTTCCTGGGGCGCCCAGACTTCTCTATCGGAGTCCCGCGAGGTCTTTGCCCCAGGTGACCTGTGCCAGCCCGGAAAGGAGGAAATTCAGAGAAGAGACCCTTGAGGGGCGGGGGCTTTGAGGGTACAAGTTGCGGCTTGAGGCGACAGAAAAAGGAGTGGGTGCCGGAGCGCGGGCCTCGGCTCCGCCCTGGCGCACTGGGAGGCCCAACAGGCGGAATTGGAAACTTTTTCCCCCACGTGGTAGCACAGTGCGTGGCCGAGTGACCCCGCGCCCGGCTGACCTCGAGGTGCCCCCCGCCCCGTCAGCCCGCGGGGTACGCTCGGGCGGCTTGGGAGTGGAGAGCGCGAGGCCGACGGGGCGAACTTGAACCGCGGAGGCGGCGAGGGGCGGGGACCGTCCCAGTCGGTGGGCCTTGAGAGCGGCCAACCGCGGACCTCGCGCCTCAGGCTCCGTTTACTTTTTTCAAGGGGACTGGTGTGCTTTCCACACTTCACCCACTGCTGCCCCTCCTCCCGCCGCTCTGCTGCTGATGCTTATAAAAAGTTGTATTAAAAAGCTGACTGCAGCCCAGAATCGATCAAGAAAAGCTACCAACCTCGCTGGGTAAAATAACTGTGCATTTTACGGGGCCCTGGAATTTATTCTCCGAATCAGGACAGCGACAGGCCTCTCTCGCCAACCTCTTAAGATACTTCACTTTGTCTAAACACAAACACCGTGGCTCGTCACCCTTTACTCCTCGGAGCCGAACCCACACTTGGAAAGGAAGAAAAATAAACTGACATTTATTAATTACAATGAGCCAGGCATCGCGACGCCATGCTTTGTACACGACTTCTCCTCTTTAGAATCCAAATCTGCACGTTTTATTAATGGAAGGTGAGAGAAAACAAGGGTAGTTTTCTTTCGCTGACATCCTGATTGATTGATTGATTGATTTTTTTTTTTTCATTTAACAAGCATCAGAGTTTACCTAGTTTACCAGGCACTGCCCTAGGTGCTAACAGAAGAATCCAAAAGGAGAAGAGCCGCCCTCCCTCTTTGATCTTTTGTGCTGCTGGGCGAGCCTCATTCCTCTTACACTATTTAACAATTTAATGGGTTGTCACTCCCTTGTTTTAAATCACACTCCACCTTCCCCATTCTAGTTCCCCAGTCCGGATCTTTATAAAATCTGGGTGGGAGATGGAATGGGGGGCAGACAAGGTGGTACCAGGAGCCGAGATTACTGGAGTATGAATGAGTAGACAAACTTTACCCCTGTCCAAAGAACAAATTATTTTACCTTAGGCAAGACTTTTAAATGACTGATTTTCTCATCTTGTAAATCAAAGAAGTTCAATTAAATGTTCAAAAAGTTCTCTTTCAGGTTAACAAAGTCTCAGATGATGACATTTTTTCAGGTAGATTGTGTGCTTTATTTCTTGAGAATAGTGACTGATATATGGGATCTGATTCAATTTGATAGGAACACAGTGTCACCTTCCAAAATTACCTAAGCCGACGGAGCCTGCTACCCCTAGAGCAATTAACTAAAGCGGTAACCCTGTACAGAGTGTACTTGTGTTAACTAATAGGAACGCTAATCTGGCAGCTGCTGAAAGCCACGCTACGGCCATCACACTTACCCTATAAAATAAACTTACATTCTTTGTCATTTAAAGCAAAGTCATGAACTCATCTTTTACGATTTTCACTCATATGAAAGTTGTCTTAGGGGGCTGGTGGTTTAGCTCAACGGCATAAGCACCTGTCTTGCAAGCAGGCAGTCGTGAGTTCGATCCCTGGTACCGATAAAAATGAAAAAGACAAAAAAAAAAAAAAAAAAAAAAAGAAAGTTGTCTTAGGTACAAGCCAAGAATCTAGGAAAACCAGGAAGTATAGTGGCAATTACAGTCACTATTCAAGAATTTCGGAGACTGGGTTAAGAAAGGTGTGAAATCGGCAAATATAATAAAAGGTATTATATTTAGTGACTTTCCAGAGTAGCCCTTGGCAGTCCTGTCTTTAAAGAGTAATGTCTGGAGGGAGAAAAAAAAAAAAAAAAAAAAAACGGATGGTAATACTCTGTATCTAAGAACCTTGCCTCTGGCAACAGTAATTTGCAAATGCATTTGGGGATAATGTTTAAATTATTTTTTTTTCAGGGTCCAAGTGTAGTACTCACTAGAATTGGTAATGCCTGCTGGGTCAGAGTTTCATAGTTTTCTTCCATTGGAGAATTTGTTTGTGGGTTGTATTACTGGTGTTTGTTTCTAATTCTCCATTTTGTACTGTAATCACTAATGAGAAGTTAACAACTACCACATAATAGGCTAAGCATTTACTATGTGCTAGTCACTATTTCAAGTACATTAAAATAATTTCTCAATTCTCATAAATTTCAAAAATTATCTTCTCCAGTACTTACTTTATAGTTGAGCAAATTGAAGATTTAAGTTAAGCCTCTTGTCCGTGATGATGTGGCAGTTTAGGGTAAGCTGAATTGAGCCTCAGCAATCCTGAAACTTTCTCTCTCCAGTGCTGGGAATCGAGCACAGGTCCTTGGGCACGCTATCAGCAGTGTTTTTTGTTTTTCTTTAAGAGTTAGATTAAAGTGCCTTTTTCAGAATGATTCCTCAAAAAGTCCTGTGCCATGTAAATTGTATAACCACTTTGGAAAACTGTTTGAAGTATCTACTACAAATAAACATATGCAAACCTTATGGCTCATTCTTGGGAATGAACCAATGTCAAATATATACTAAAAGTGCTGCTCTGATTAATATTACTTACAATGACTCCCCAGCCAGAGGTGACATAAATATTCAAAATAAAATACATAGTGTGTGTTATATGCCTATCAGAGAACACATTCTACAATGCTAGGAATGAGCAGTCTGTTTCCAAATACAATAGCATAGATGAATCTCACAAATATGTTCAGTGAAAGAAGTGAGACATGCAAGAATATGTTTCACAAGATTTCATTTATATAGTACACAAAAATAGACAAAACTTACTTATGCTGTTTAAAATCAGGATAAATTCAGGTGCAATGGCAAATGCCTGTGATTCCAACACTCTTGAGAGGCAGGAGGATCAAAACTTTGAGCCTGACCTGGAAAATTTAGAAACTCAGTGAGACCTAGTTTCAAAATTAAAAAATAAAAGGACAAGATGAGGGTACATAGTCTGGTGCAAAAAGCAAAGTCCCTGGATTCAATACCCAGACTATAAAAAAGTAAAGTCAGGCTAGTTGTGATGACTGAGTGGGGCACATGCTTGAGCTTGTATGTGAAAAGTCATACTGTTCTGGTACATGCATCTCTCTGTATGTTATACTTCAACAAGAAAACTTTATATGTGTGTTTATAAATGTGTAGGAGTATTTTGTATATATGAATACCTACATAATATTCACTACTCAAATGCTCATCAGCAGTAATGGAAATGAGCTATGATACTATTCTCTGAATAGCCAAGGTTGAATGGGGAAAAAACAGCTGTGATTGATTCACACAGAACTATACGGTGTGAACACAATGGAGTATTGTATAGCAAACCAGAGTAAAACAGCAGATATCAGATTTCTTATTGAGTAGGACAAAAGATAAAGCTTAAACTTGATATGGACAATATGAATGATCTCATACTTCGTATCAGCAAAATCTTAGATGAATTAATTCCCCCAAAAGATTGTAGTTGATAAATGAATAAAGCTAAAGAAATTATTCCAAAAGAAATTGCTTGTTCAGGAGTGAAAACATTTAATTTTTCTGCAATACACAAAGGGGAAAACGGACGTGTGTTCAGGAATATACTAAGGTTGAGTGGTGTTATAAATACATGAAAAAATACTTACTTTTTGACAGTTTCTCCAGTTGTGCCATTTTCACTCAAACCAGTGATTAAAACTCAATATTCAATCATGGCGACTGAGAAAATACTACTATAGTTCAGTGATAGAACTAAGCCGTGGTGCCTTTCTCTAGTGAAAGATATTTTTGATACCAGGTTTTCTAAATTACTAAATTTTTTAAAATTTAAGTTTATTGGTACATATTATATATAATGGTCATATTCATCATAGGGAATTTGTACCTATACAAATATATTTTGATTTCTCTTTTTTCACCGAATCTCCCCTCCTCCCTTCAACCTTTCCTTTACCTTCCCTATTTACGAAGCTTTGTTTTCATTTTTTTGTTTTTTAAATCTTTTGTTTAATTACTAAATTTTTATATCACTGTCTTGTACTCCACACTCTGCCAACATGGTAATTATTAGCACATCATTCTTGGTACCAGTATATAAAATTTGAATTTAACTCATTAGGAAAATTGATTTTTAAACCAAAGCAGCTAAGGTTTATGTTTGGGTCATTTATAACTTTCAGTTTTTGTGTGTGCTGCTGCACTGAGACTAGGCATACAACTGAGAT